ACGCGGTACATATGCCGCAGCTATGTTGGGGCTAAGACAGAGGCCGAATTGCTAAAGAGCTCCAGACGAGTTGGGCTGTTATTTTACACGATAGTCCGGACTCGTTTAACAGAGTCCGGAGGCTTGACTGCCGAAGTGGAGTTTGGCTTGATAAGGCCGACCTGGACTACTGCTGCGAGAGCCGCGGTGTGTTCCTCGGTACGAAAGGAGCTATCCATGTTTCCATGGACTGTTATAACACCGCGTGGTCCTGGCATCTTGAGTTTTAGATAAGCATAGTGCGGGACAGCATTAAAGCGGGCAAATGCAGTTTGTACAAGCAGTGTGTGATAACCGCTACGGAAAGGGACGATGTCGAAGATCAAGTCCTCGCTTCGGAAGTTGTCTGGCGAACCGAAGACGACTTTCAATGTGATGGAGCCCGTGCATCGGGCCTCTACACCAGGAATTACTCCTTTGAAGGTTGTTTTTGTGGGCTTGATTCTTGACGAATCAATACCCATTTTGCGGACTGTGTCTTGATAGAGCAGGTTAAGACTGCTGCCGCCGTCCATGAAGACCCTCGTTAGGTGGAATCCATCGATAATTTGGTCAAGGACCAACGCGGCTGAACCTCCATGACGGATACTGGTCGAATGGTCTCGGCGATCAAAAGTGATCGGGCATGCTGACCATGGGTTGAATTTTGAGGCGACTGGTTGTATTGCATAGACGACCCTTAACGCGCGCTTGCACTCCCTCTTGGGGTTGTGAGTAACGTATATAATGTTCACCATTTTGACTTCGGGGGGAAATTTCTTCTGTCCCCATGTATTCGGTGGGCGAGGCTCTTCGTCTTCGTCCTCGCTGGGTGACCCTTTCCCCATACGCTTGGTGTTTGACTTACCTGCCTGTTTGAAAACCCAACAACTTCTGTTGGTGTGGTTGGCAGGCTTATCAGGGGTGCCGAGAATCTGGCAAGGTCGATCAAGTATCCATTCCAGGCTAGATGAACTGGTTTTGTTTCTTTTGAATGGCTTCTTCTGCTGATCGGGTTTGGAGCCACTGAATCTGGCGTTAACCATCGTGTCTTCGGCATTTTCAGTATTGCTCCGACGCTTATTTTTTTTTGCGCCGGGGCCTGCCGTTATTGTTCCTGGCTTCAGAAGTGCCAGGGTAGCTGGTGCTGGTGCCGCTATGGGCTAGGCAGCTATCTTCGTCTGCACAAAAGTGTGTCATGAGTGTTGTGAGGGCTGCCATGGACTTCGGCTTTTCTTGGCCGAGGTGTCAGGTGAGCCATTCATCGCAGATGATGTGCTTAAAGGCTGCTAGAGCTTCAGCATCCGGACAGTCAACAATTTGGTTCTTTTTAACTAAGAACCTAGTCCAGAATTTTCTGGCCGACTCTCCGGGTTGTTGGACTATGTGACTGAGGTCATCAGCGTCCGGAGGCCGGATATAAGTGCCTTGGAAGTTGTCTCTAAAGGCATCCTCCAGGTCTTCCCAGCTTCCAATAGAGTTTCCTGGGATACGGTTTAACCAGTGTCGAGCTGGTCCCTTAAGTTTTAGAGGGAGGTATTTGATGGCATGTAAATCATCACTTCAAGCCATGTGAATGTGGAGAAGAAAATCTTCAATCCATACTGTGGGGTCCGTTGTGCCATCGTATGATTCAATGTTCACGGGTTTAAACCCTTCTGAGAACTGATGCTCCATTACCTCATCGATGAAGCATAAGGGGTGCGCGGCGCCTTTGTATAGGGCAGCGTCGCGACGCAATTCGGATGGAGTCCAGCTGCAGTGATCGGCCCGGGGAAGGTTATGCTTGTCGCGCCAGGCCTGATGCCGTCTCCCCGTGCTGGAGCATGGCCCCTTGATCCATAATTATCTGTTCTGACCGGCTCCACTGTCCAGGTCTTGTTGTAAGTCGTAAGTGTATCCTGCAGCTGCTGTCTCTCTGCCTTTACAACGGGGTGGTGCAGGCTGGTGTTCGGCTTGAGTTGCCGGTCTTTCCCGACCACGCCGTGGACGATCAGGTCTGTCGCCGGCTTTACGCTTTGGCGGTATAGGCTCCAGGGCCTCATCATCAAATTGTGGTAGCAGCTTGCGCTTTGGGTAACTCTTGGTTGGGCGCTCGAGTCCGTATTCCTCGGCTACTAGGACATCAATCCATCTGTCATTGAGCAGATCCTGATCAGCTTGAAGCTGCTGCTGCTTCTTTTTTGAGCTTCTTACCGTGGCAATTAGCCGGCGCTTGAATCACTCTTATTCGATGGGATCCTCTGGCACGATGAATTCTTCGTCGCTGAGGCTTTCGTCCTCTTCGGAGGTTGGTAGGTAATTACTGTCCTCCGAGGCCTCGTCCTCAATAGGCTTGTCGGGGTTGACTTGCCCGTCCTCCAAATCTTCCTGTTCAGATGTTTGTTCGATAGGGGCTTCCTGGTCTTCGGTGTTCTCCGGGGTATTATTGTCTCCAGTGTCGGTATTGCTGTCTTTTTCGCGAGGTGACTTCAAGCGGCGCCGCTGACGCTGGCGCTTTGGTGGTGCCTCGGAAGGCTTGTCCTCCTCTGGATCTTTCCCACCATCATCGTCATCCTCTTTGGGTGTGTCCACCATGTACACGTCATATGTGGAAGTAGCCTCCCAGCGTCCAGTGACCGGTCGGTTCTAGGTTTTCTTGTCTCCGGCATCGTCACCGATATCGTCGATGTCTTCGGAGTCATAGTCGAGCATGTCGGTTAAGTCCTCGAAAGTGGCTATGAAGTGGGTGGTGGGTGGGACGTAATATTTCCCGCTCTCAGCCCCTGGTATGGGCCAGGCATAGTTCGGCAGCGATCTTTCTGTAATAGCGAGAGATCGGATAAGGTCCAGGGCCTCGTCTAGGAGCGAGGTCTGGACGGGGAAGCGAGGGTCCGGTGAGTTGGGCGGGGCAGAAATTCCCTGGCCGAACTCACATAACATGGACCTCGAGAGTTGGGAGCTAGTGTCTGGAGGCGAGTCTGGTTCCATAATGGTGAAGGGAGCCTGGTGCAACTCTGGACCTGCCGGTGAGGCGATCCCTTCCGGTCCTCCAGTTTCCGACTCTATGGCCATAGAGAGTCCGGTGGGCTCTAAACTCCCGTCTTCAGACCTGGTGATGCGCTCCAGATCTAAGGCCAGAGCGGTGTTTGGAGTCGCAAACCCTTCGAAGATCAAGTCTCCTCGGATATCAGCGACATGGTTCAGATTTCCAAAACTAGTTTAATGACTGGGGGCGTAGCTGCCGATCTGCTCCAGCTGGCCAATCGAATTGGCCCGCGGTGCGATGTCGCCGAGTACGAAGATCTGGCCGGGGAGAAAAGTCTCCCTCAAGGCGGTATTGTTGTGGATGATTGATGGAGCCATCGAGCCTTTTAGTGACGGCACAGTAAAACTCTCAATGAAAGCACCAATGTCGGTGTCAAAACCGGCAGATCTCGGGTAGGGTATCCCGAATTGTGCGTCTAAGGATCAAAGGTATCAGGAGGCAGGGACAGGATGTTTTACCCAGGTTCGGGCCCTCTTGATGGAGGTAATCCCCTACTTCCTGCTTGATTGACTTTAATGAGTATATGGGTTACAAGAGTTGATCTACCACGAGATCGTAATGGCTAAACCCTACATGTCTAGCTTGTATGTTTTTTATTCTAATTCTGCCTCTACGGACTAAATCATCCGGTTTATATAGACACCGGAGGGTCCTAGGGTTGTACAAGGTTGGTTTACAGAAAATGGAATGTGCATGATCCGAACGCCAAGCTTGCAATCCCCGCAAAGGAGAGTCCCATCTGGACACGGGGCAAGGTCTTCGATCTCACATCTCCACGGCCCATCAGTCCGACCCATGACACATAGGCCAGCTCCCCGAGAACCCCGTAATCCAGGACTCCTAAGCATTCCTGCAGTACTGGCAAGGATGACCCACGGGAGCGGCTTGAGCGCTTACCCAGCCAAGGGATTCCCTGGGCGACTACCGCGTGCCTAAATCACCGTTGTTGCCTAAGTCACCATCAACGCTGTCACTCTAGAGAGAGGGGCGGTGCCTTTTGGTCAATCAACTGACCTGGTGGTCAAAACCAGGTGACGCGTCCAGTTTTAGTGAAAAGTCAAAATTGTGTCCACGTGGTAGGAAACCACCTAAAATGGCACAAAGGACTAGATCTATCCACTTATCAGAGTTGAGGAACTTAGGTTTGCTGGTTCACAGTTGATGTTATACCTTCTAGACAGATCACAGATGAAAAATATACTTTTCTCATTTTCTAAATATTTGTAGGTGTGGGAGAAACATTTGCCTAATAAAGGGTGATGAGGAGGATCAGACCTGTGCAGCCAGCATTGACGTACGGATTTCCTTGAAAGCCTGACGAACATTTACAACGATATCCCATAAATATTTCTCCGTGGGTGACGTTTAGGCAATAGCTCTGGGAACTGCGACATGCATACTCAGTATCCTTTTGCATAGCTGTTTCACATGTTAAATTGGCAACCGCCCACTTTATAACAATGTTGTATTCCACAGAGAAATCAAATTGATCTTCCATAGGTGAGTCCACTCCATATCCATCTTCAGTCTGGATTAATATTGCCTCTTTTTCATTACTTCCGTTCACCATATTGCTAACAGTCAGAGTCCCATCTTCCACGGAGATACCGGTCACCTGATATTGTGCATCTTCTGAGACAGAGACTGTGAGATTGCCAGAGGTACAATTAAGATGAAATTTTTCGTTTGCAAAACATCCTTCTTCAAGCCCAAAGGGGAAGGGAATAGTAATGGGTCCACATGATGCAGGACAGTGTTCTTTGGGCTTTGGGTTATAATCTGCTCCACGGTACATAGACATAAAAAGTAAGAACAAGATGATGAAGGCTAAATAGAAGGGAATTTTAACTCATTATGGAGAAAATGTAGGGCCGGAAGTACCTTGCATGCATCCATCTAAAATGTAAGGGTTGCCTTGTCCATAACTAGAGCAGACACATTGGTAACCACCGGATTAGGAATTCCGACAACTGCTACCGTTGCTGCATGCATAGCTTTCGTTCTTCAGTTGTGCACCTTCACAGCTTTGTTGGTCCATGATGGCAACTCTAAGCACTGCGCCATCAATCATGCTATCATTTGTCCAACTAGAGAAAAGATCAGATGTATTATAACTGTAATAATCTGGATCACTTGAAACTAAAGCCATGATGCCAGGGTGCAACCAATCTGATTGTGTTGCAGTAGTATTAGTGCTGACAAGTTTTGCCCGAAAGGCTGCCAGGTCCCTCGGCAACTGGATGAGGCAGCAGCCTATTCCATTACAATGCCCTCCAGTTGGTGCCTTCTTGCCGGCACATCTACTCATACAAGAACCAACCATGTCTCCCGTACCATACTTGAACAAGGTGACGTCGAAATCACAACCAGCTATGAACAAAGTATTATAACTAGCAAGAGTAATACCTTTAGCAGGGGCCTCCCATGTCATGTTGTAGGTATTTGTACCTGGCCTTGTTGCAAGCTTGAAGATTATAGGGGTCAAAACTATGCCATAGCTGGAGTCGATGTTAGTGACCTGGACAGTGCTTCTGCCTAAAAAGAGCTTGGGATGCTTGGTTGAGTGGTTGCAGGTGAGATCGAAGCCTTGACGAAAGCAGCCGGACCCTATACCAAAGGGATAGGAGAAGTCAATGTCCCCGCACCTTGTGATGCAGTGAGCCAAGGAGCGATTAGATGGGATCTGCAGGATCCCTCCGGCGGGTCCAGACACTGCGGCCGATGCTTGTGGCCAAGCTGCCAAGAACATCAGCACAAAAGAAATGGCGCTGAGTATCGTGCTCATCGTTGCGCTGCACCAGTAGGCTGGTCTGTCTTGTGTTGGTGTTGATGTTGGAGCTGGTGATGGGCTTCGGCTTTTGGTTTGGCGAAATTTGTAGACTGTATAAAGGCCACCCCAGCTAGGAGTCTTCTGTAGTGTCAATCAAAATATCAAACGTAGCTAGGAATTCCAGGGCCACTATTCCCATCAGATGTGATGGTCGTTGCTAACGCCAACATGACTCGGTCATGGCCACTACTTGTTGCTTGCTGATAGCCACATGAAAACGCAGATTTTTTTTTCTTTCCTTTTTCTTTTCATTCTTCATAGGGCGGTCGTGCATGCTTGCTTGCCGTGTCCGTGCTGCGATTGCTGCGTGCTAATATTCGAGCAATGTCAACATCGCTAATTTTTGTGGGCTTTTCTAGATGCATCACTGTTAATTCGACGAGCGGCAACACAGCATGCAAATTGACGATGAGCATCAAAATTATGCAGAATTTTGCAGGGAGAATGTCGACCATACCTTGGTCAGCAAAAAATGTTATTGCTTTGAACAGCTGCACTGAATTTGCGTGGCTCCAACATATTGCTTTGTTATTGCTTATGAGAGACGAAAATCATTCACCTTGCTCAAGAAAAAAAAAGAAATATTTATCTTTGTTTTATGCCCGCTCAGTCTTTCGGAGGTGCTCATAAGGGTAGTGTGTGTCGGACCGCCTGTCGGACCGCCTGTCCGAGATAATAACATGGCGGATAGTATGGACAAAATATTTCTCGCCCACAAGAGCTGGATTTCGGGAGCCCAGCGGGTAGCCCATTTGATGTCCGAACACGCCAGGACGTCAAGGGGAGAAATGAGCTTTGATTTTGGAGACGAGGCTAATCATTTGTTTGATTCATTTACATGCATTATAGCCCGTAGCAACGCACGGACGTTTTACTAGTAAGGGTAGTGTTGTGTGTGTGTTCATAGGGGTGAGTCTATGCGCGTGTATATGAGCGCTTGTGTCTGTACTGATGTTAAAAGAAAATAGAGCAGTATTGCTTTGGTGGGACCATGTAATATTTTTCATAATTGAGCGAGCTGCTTCGACCTTCTAGTATTTGTATTAGTTTTCAGCTTGCACTATAGCGGATCTATTTTTGGATGATGGTTCGCTTCTTGTATTATGTCATAACGTGCAGCCGAGCAGCTTACAAAACGCTGTGGCCACTGGGTCAAACATTTGCGTGAAAACCACAGGATACGTGCAAGGCTATACTGAATTATTTCCGGGGTGGACTGAGCTGTTGCTTTAATATATATGTGGTCCTCTCTTGGACGTGTATTCAGAGGGAATGAACCTCAAATGTCGTCGTCCGTCATTGTTTCAGTCTGTCTCGTCTTAAGATTTTTCTCTATTTTTCAGAGCCATGTGCGATGTATCATCTTTTTAGTACGTATGTGTACAATCAAACATTTTTGCAAGGCCGTGCTTCGAGTAAATATATAGCACGTTTTCTTAGGAAATATAATTGAGTAAATTATATATCTTGGCACCTTGCTGGGTTGCCAAAAAGTGGCAGTGGCCATGGGTGCTGTTGCCGTTGGTCTTAAACTTTTAATGAATAGCCTATACCATTTGATTTTGTAAAACTGAATAACCTACCACGTGGTAACATGGCCACGAGTAATATAACGATTCATGACTTTGCTGGTACATAGCTCGACTGTGTATGCACACCTCTCTTTTTCTGTTCGTTTTTAAGTTCACATTTAATTTTTAAAAAAATAAATTAAATATTTATTAGGTTTAAAAATCATTTTGACAAAATATTTTCCAAAGAATTCATAATTTTTGGTGGAGTGGTTGCAGGTGAGATTGAAGCCTTGAAAGAAGCAGCCCAGACCTATCCTAAAGGGATGGGAGATGTCGACGTCCCCACACCTTGGAATGCAGTGAGCCAAGCAGTCATTAGAAAGGATCTGCAGGATCACTCCGGCGGCTCAAGAGACTGCGGCCGATGTTTGCAGCTCAGCTGCCGGAGAACATCAGCACAAAAGACATGGCGATGAGTATCTTGCTCTTCGTTGCACTGCGACAGTAACCTGGTGTGTCTCGTGTTGGTGTTGGCATAGGATTTTGGTGCTTGGCTTGGCACGATTAATTCTTTTTAGACTATATAAAGGTGACTTCTAGTTACGAGTCAAATATGGTGTCAATATTATTTTTTGTAAATGTAGCTGGGAATTCCCTCTAATTGTGAAGCAAGTAAAACAATCTGGGTGCAAAATGACACCACTCTAATTTTCACAAAAAGCAGACCATATTTAGTGGAAAATTTCCCAGGTTTTATGGATTTTCTAGATTTCTAGCTACTTTCGCACAATGAAATGACTCTATGTTGATTTCTCAAAAGTGATTCAAACTTCAATTGCAGGTGCGTTATAACTCTGTCCTAAAAATTAGCAAAAAAATTGTTTCAGGTACACAAGTAGTGTCACTATATATAAGAAACACTTGTAGTTTTGAAAGATTCAAAAGCTGGCTATGAATAGCCATGCCAGCCATTTTAACCCAGTTTTGGAAAAAAAATGAAAGAAAAGACATAAATGTTCAAAAAATGTAAACCTTTCGCATAGAGTCCTTTTATGTGTACTATATGCAAGGAAAAATATCAAAGTTGCCATATGACCAATTTGAAAAAAATATCTTCACAAAGCTGGCTATCAAGTATGAACATTCATGAGTTTCAAGCCAAATGACTAAGTCAATGGTCGTATTCATTGCATAGTTTATGATTATGTCCAAAAATTGGGCACGTAGGTGCAACTCTCCATTGCAAACATTATTTCTAAATTTTGTGAAGCAAGTAAAAAATATGGGTGCAAAATGACACCACTCTAATTTTCACAAAGTTTAAACCATATTTGATGGAAAATTTCCCATGTTTTATGGATTTTCTAGATTTCTAGCTACTTTCATACAATCAAATGACTTTATGTTGATTTCTCAAAAGTGATTCAAACTTCAATTGCGGGTGTGTGATAACTGTGTCCTAAAAATTAGCAAAAAAGTTTCATCTATACAAGTAGTGTCACTATATATAAGAAACACTTGTAGTTTTGAAAGGTTCAACACCTGGCTATGAATAGCCATGCCAGCCATTTTAACACAGTTTTGGAAAAACTGAAAGAAAAGGAATAAAAGTTCAAAAACTGTAAACCTTTCGCATGGAGTCCTTTTATGTGTACTATATGCAAGGAAAAATATCAAAGTCGCCATACGACCAATTTGAAAAAATATGTCTTCACAAAACTGGCTATCAAGTATGAACATTCAGGAGTTTCAAGCCAAATGACTAAGTCGATGGTCGCAGTCATTGCATAGTTTATGGTTATGTTAAAAAATTGGGCACGTAGGTGCAACTCTCCATTGCAAACGTTATTTCTAAATTTTTTGAAGCGAGTAAAAAATATGGCTGCAAAATGACACCACTCTAATTTTCACAAAATTTAGACCATATTTGATGGACAATTCTCAAGTTTTATGGATTTTCTAGATTTCTAGCTACTTTCGCACAATAAAATGACTTTATGTTGATTTCTCAAAACTAATTCAAATTTGAATTGCAAGTGTGTGATAGTTGTGTCCCAAAAATTAGCACAAACGTTTTAGGTACACAAGTAGTCACTATATGTAAATAACGCTTGGAGTTTTGAAGGATTCAACTCCTTGCTATGAATAGCCATGCCGACCATTCTGACCCATTTTGAAAAAAAATGAAAGAAAAAGAACAAGGGTTTGAAAAATGTAATCCTTTCACATGGAGTCCTATTATGTGTACTATATGCGAGGAAATATATCAAACTTGCAATATGACAATTTTGAATAAAAATCGTTCACAAAATGGGCTATCAAGTATGAACAATCATGACTTCATGCCAAATGACTAAGTCGGTGACCATATTTGTTGCATAGTTCAATACAATGTGCCAAAATTGGGCACATAGGTGCATCTCACCATTACAACAATGTTACCAGATAGATTTTTCATCTTTTTGTACAAAAAATCATTATTCATTTCCTAAGTGTTGATCGACGTTTGTGGTCTTCCGAGTTTCTACGAAGAGCTATTGATTATTTAGTTCCAGAAAATTTGAACGAAGTCTGACAATTTCAAACCTAGCACCTCCACGTCCTCACTTGTTAAAAAAAGAACAGAAAAGAAAAGAAAGGAAAACCAACATCCAACCAAACACATGTTTTAAGAATGAAAAAATAAAATAAAATAAATTGTTCAATGTAACTCAAAAAAACAACTACACTTCACCAAATTGCCTTCGACCACCACATTTTGTCATTAGAGTTGACAATTTGGCAACACTATTTTCTTGTAGACGCTAAAATAAACACACATTGCAAAAACACAAAATCCTGGACGTTCACTCGTTGAGATGTTGAGCCATTAGAAAAGTGATTCTACCATGCACGGCATATCCAGTGCATGGCTAAACCGTCCATCTGGTTAGAGATGCATTCATGCCATGTACTCATTCTTATATTTAAATCCATCTGACAACTTTATGGAGCAAGGCTGCACCAACTAGTCTCTCTCTCCTGCACACTAGTACTGGATTTTATTTTGAATCTAAACTTTAAACAACCATATATTTTAAAATAAATATAGGGTAAATAGTCTGTATGAAAATGTGTTTTTCTTTTGACGATATCTTCGGAACAAGTTCAATATTTAATATGTTTTGAAAATTTGAGTTTACGAAACACAATGAAACATGCCTGTACGGAAAATTACATGATGGTTTTCGTGTGGATATATAATAATGTTCTGCTCATGCGCACATTAGTAAGTTTATTAATAAAACGGAAAATAACTTGTACAAATTGACAAAAAAAAGGTCTAACAATCATAGTTTTTGCAGTTTCATGAGGTTTTAAAATCCATGTTTCAAAAATGTTCAAATAATATTCATAGTTAGTCTTGTTGAAAAGATCTCGTTGCCAAGAACACAAATATGT